GGCACATGCATGGCATGTCTCTCTTGTTACGTTGCATGTGGGTTGAGTGGTGTTTCACTGTGACACCACATGCCAGGCCTCTGCAGGCCATAATGAAAGATCATAAATAACAGGCTTAACCCACCCTGCTAAGCCTTACTTTTTCCTTCTCTGTATTTTAGAATCAGCATTCTGAACCCTGCAGCTAACTTGCTGAAACAGCACAACGTGAAGAAAAAGTAATTGAATAAGCGTTCGATATATATTTTTTTTTTCCAATGGAAGTTTGGTTACGATTGTGTTTATTTATAACATGCTCTAAGTTGTTGTGGACTTGCCAAAAGTTCTGGTGTGTCTTTCACAGCTGATGGCAACTGCAGCTGGGAAACTTTAGTCAGCAGATTGAAACTGGTTCTCTGTGTTGTGCAAAAATCAAATCATTCTTCAACCAGGTGCTGAAGCATCAAAGTTGAAGGAAATACAAGCAATTAGGTAAATGAAGCAAACAGAATGATCAAGGGAAAAAAAAATGCACTCTATAACAAAGAGGACAAGTTGAAGTTTACATATGAAGAAAATCATAAAGTGGAAAAAGCTAATATTTTGAGCTGTAGAGTTAGCTGGTGTAAATAGAGATCATACATTTTTAAATTTGCCATATCATATCTCGGTGACCCCTGGCAAGTCAAACCAAGCAGAAACATGATCTGTTTAGCTACTGCAGCATATGATCATGTGTGTGGACATGATCTCGGAAACATGACCCTTTAGCCTAAACATGTAAAAGCTAAGTGAGACATTTTAAGTCTTAGCAGATACCTGGGGAGCTGAATTATTGCTCTCAACAGTAAATCAGAGCTACATACTATGTGCAGCATTAATGCCGTATATTACCTTTTGATTTGTTTGCGTTATCCCCAACTATATCCGAACAGAATGTCTAACGATACCATGTCATGATGTTTTCATATCCACATGTGAGTGTTTCCATGTGGATATGATTTCTGCAGGTAAGTTCTGAATGTATGTACACCCTGTTATATTTAGTTCCCTAGGCCACTGTTTTCAACATCAAAACAAAACAGAAAATAATGTCCAATATAAATGTAAATTGGGTTTTATTTTAAGAGGCTTTTTTGTTGATCTCAAAAATCCTTTAGAACATAAAATGGATAGCTTAGAGTTTTTTTAACTGGGGTTCTGTTGAACTGCTGTAAGCGGTCGGTGCCTCACCTGCAGTAGATAACTCTTTTGACTTCTTCATTTGTGCTGCGTTACCTCAGACGTTGGAATTTGGTGCTCGGCTTGAGGTCAGACAAACCCAGCAGTAACAGTGTTTTAGTTAGGAAGTCAGAATTTCAACATGGTGACGACCGTAGTCATTGTCTGCAGTAGCTCTCACAAACATTATTTTGGCCGTGAGCAAGTGCCACTTTTAATTTGTTCAGTTTATTGTTGCAGGTGCTAAATATAACATTGATTTACAACGTTACACTTAACATTGTAAATCAATGTTAAATGTGTCTTATTTTATAAAATACATCTGTATTTTGTAAAATAAACATGATTCCATTACATTTTACAACTGTTGATGTGAGAAAGGGCCATGTTGAAACAGAAAGTCAGCTTTGCAAGTTGTAACTGGGAAATCTAACTGCAGAGGGTTTCCAAATAATTTTTTTTTTTAAACTGGGAAGTTAGAATTTATAAATCCAGATTACTTAATCTGGTAGGCTGAACCTAAAAAGTTGTCCAAAACTGGACCGAGACTAAAACTTTATTTTACTTTTGTAAAATAAATACAGTCTAACAAAATAACATGTTTACGCAAGAAACCTTAACAGGAAATGACAGCAAAAGATGATGAGTCACCAATGATCTTCCTACATGAAACACAAACTTAAAACAACAAAAAGGTCATTTCATGCACTTTACAAACAAGATGACATCACAAGAAAATAACGTTGGGTTGTATTATTGAATATTGAAGAAATTTAAGCTTCAGCATACCACCAAACAAGTTACTTAGTCAGGTGGCTAGAGTAAAACATAGTCAGTGTTTTTGAGTGCCCATAGCAAAGCCCCTGAAAGGTTTGTGCAAGAAATGCTACCTTAAAACCCTCACTTAGTTACAGCTATTCAGTAAAGAGGGATGGGCAAAAATGAACACAAAGTGTGATTTATATAAACTTCTGACTTTAAAGAAAGTATCTAAAAATCTTGGAGAAAAAAAAAGCTCTATATTTTTGGCATTTAGCAAACAGAAATTATTTTGGTAATTCTAACTGGCCTGAAGCAGCAGAAGTTTAGTGTGATTTAATATCAAACAGCGAGAAAGAAGGATACGTGTTTTGTAGGTAAATATCTGGTTTCAACAGCAGAAAAATAAGCATACGTTTAAGTGAGCTAATGGTAAAAAAAAAAAAAATAAACAAGAAGGATAACATACTCAGTGTGTCTTCTCAAAGTGTTTTTGACATTTTAACAGGAAACAGTCAAAAAAAAAAACTGAAGTATCCCTTTAAACCAGACAAGAAGCTTGGGGATTGTGCTATAACATGTGCCAGATGCTAGTTAGCATATCCTGTGGCGATGGGCACCAGTTTGTGCCAATGATTCTCCACACAATGTAACATTCAACATCAACATGAAGATGTAAGACAAGAGAGACAAAGAGAGAAAGCCAGCGAAGTGGACCCCAACATGTCCATATATCAGAAAGATCACTGAGTAAGACTTTGGCATTAAACAATGAGGGTCTCTGACGGAAGATATGTGCCACACCAGCAAAGACAAAGACATGACTGTCATCTGACAAGATGTTATGTCACTGGCATCAAAATGAAATTTATTGCTTTCGTCTCAAGTGCCAGATGTGCAGACAAGAACATGTAAATGCGAGCATGCAAATACAAGTCGACACTGTGCGGTGGTGGGGAGAAACACAGCACAAAAACGCACAGATTCATCAACATTCAGAGAACACACTGAGAAAACATGCTAATTTAGTCATTGCTTTCTGCAACGCTGCCTTTCTGTAGCTAACACCAGTAGGTAACCCTGCAAACATTTACCACACATCAACAACACCCAGTCCCTGCATGCCACTCAACCTTGTTCCCATTTGCCAGGTTCCCAGACCTCCACTTCCCAAGTCTACTCTCAGTCTCAGCTGTTTGTGACACTCAAAGGTGCTAGCAACACTTTTTGTCATTATGACCCAAAGTCCTGCATCTTATGCAGGCTGGTGAACGTGGACTACGACTGCAGAGCTCGAGTCAACCCACAACAGTTTTGCTGCCAATTCTGTGGGATGAGCTTCAGCAGCAGATTGAGAACAAGTTACTGGTAAACAGTCTGTCAAAACTTCTGCTTGTGAACAGTGTCAAGTCTTGTTGCATTCTCCTGGCAACCGAAATAAATATTGATTTTATTTTTTGACAGGGGAACTGAATTGTGGGCGTGTTCTCAAGCTGCTCCTGATAAGATTAGCTGTAGAGTGAATGACCCATTGCCGTTTGGAACACATCCCTGGTGCAGCAGTTCAGTGAGGCTCTTCCATATTCTTTTTGTATTTTCCTTGTCCTTTCTTCACTCTCCCCAGCTTCTTCCCACAGGTGGAAACATCCAGTGGCAGCTCTTTATTGCTACTGTCACTCATGACATGTCTGACCTTGTGCTTGACATGGAAAAGTCTAAGTGAGACATTACCCATTCAAGCTTCGGCAGATTAGGTTTGTAAACAAATGCCTGCTTATCATCTACGCTATTTTCCTATTGTTTCACAATCTGTGCTTCGATTATACAGTTGGAATTAATTGTAGCTGAATGGGCATCAACTGAATTTTTCTGATAATTAGAAAAGCTTACTTTGGTCTGAGTGTAATCCAGTACACAAACTGAAACAATCTTCTGATAAATCTTCCAAAGCCAGTTTAAGAAAAATATTCTCACATATCTTTATTCATCTGTGTGCATGACCTTGGGTGGGGTTCATCTTATCTCTCTGAGTGTGTTTTAGTCACCTTTTGTGACTCAGAATGTGTCTCTGACTAATGTCACGTCACAAGTAGGCTCGTTTTTAGAGGTAATCAAAGATGATTTAGAATAATTGTCCATGTGGCTTGAATTTTTGTAAATTCCTCCGTTTGCGTGTTGTAATAGCTGCTTTCAGGTCTTTCTCTGACGAATGACTTAAAGTTTTAGTGGGTCTTTTCCATCAGCAAAGCTTATAATTTAAATCTTTATTAGAACATGTTGTATGATGTGTGTGTGGATGTGAAAATACATGATGGAAGAAAGGCCCACCCAGGAAGTGACTCCACCCTGCAAGGAGGCACAGAAGCTCCCCCCCCCCCCCCCCCCCCCCCCCCCCCACACACACTACCTCTGCCTTGCTGAAGTGAGGAGAGAGGGAGCCTCGGCTCATATAGCCTCTCCGTTTGCCCCCTCTCAAAAGCCTCCATTGTTCCCGGCAGTCAGCGCCCAGAGAGTGAGCTAAAGGGAGTTATGAAGCTCGCCAACGGGGCAGAGGCTGGGGCGGGGTGGGAGGTGTTGGGTTGGTGCCTAAAACCACACGGAGGACAGGGAGCCAGACATAGAGCATCCCTGTGCAACTCGCAGCCTACTGCTGGAGGTTTGCCTTAGCTTAACAGCACTGTATGAAAAACTCCACAACATGACGCAAAAAACACATCTAACTGTCAGAGGCACCAACCGACCCGACGATCCCAAGTTGTAGGGCTCTCCATATTTGGTGCTGCTTGTTTGCCAGCTTGAAAAGGGTTTTGTTTTCTCTCCCTCTCGTTCATTTGAAGCGCTGCTTGAATTGGCCAATAAGAGAGAAGGCAGCTGGACGGAGCCCTGGGCAACTTGTTCACATTTGTAATAGAAAATAAGTGTCATGGGACTATAACGGTCACAAGTATATAAGAGGGGAAGTACAGTGCTGGCCAACAATGAGCTCAGTTGTGTCCGTTTTTATGGCGGGTTTCTAATATAAATAGAGGGAGATGAGCAAGTTTGTGAAATGTTTCTCGTTTTATTGAAACTGCATGAACAAAAACACTGCAATTAAATAAGAGGTTTGCATGAAAAACATGGCACAAATGGACGACATCATGGCAAAGCAAAAGAAATGGATCATTGCAAACATTTGCAGTGTCTAAAGTCTAAATCATTAAACATTACTCGTCTCGTTCAGTGCACATATTAAACAAGTTTTAAAAGCAGGCAAGGTAAGATAAGAGTATTTATACACCCAGTTAGCACAGTTACAGTTGGAACACAATATTTAAAAAAATGCCTGCTTAACATTAAGCACTAAAACTAAGTGCAGCTAAGAAATGTTATCCTGTGTGCAATATGCAGTTAACAACTGGACGGCTGTTCTGGTAACATAAACAGAAGAATATACTGTTAAGCCTATACTTATATCACATCTAGCAACCTGCGACAGCAGAAAGACCCGAAGTAGAGCAGGGACCAGTTGAAGAAGTCCATTCAAGACACAGTCGTAGCACACTTCAAAACTTTGAAATCCTCTGCGCTAGCGAGAGAATACCAGAAACAGTGGCACAAACCCTTCTGCTAAATTTCACAGATATGTATTAGGTTTTAATGTGTCAGTGTTAAAGTGGGCAGAATGTCACGGTGCTCCTGCAAACGAGGGCTGCGGTTTCTGCTGCGCTCATCCTCAAAGAGGACGTCCATGGCCAGGACAAGGTCTGCACGCTGTGCTTCATGCAATTGGACGAGGTGTCGGGTATTTTGGCCGCACAGGAAACTATTCTAACGGGTGTTCACGACTTCACTACAGTGAAAAAGTATTTGCCCCATTACAGGTTTCTTCTGTTCTTGCTGTTTTTGCTACATTCAAATGTTTTCAAAAAGAAATATAGCAGACTGTCATAAAGGGAGTGATTACAAAAATCAATTCCCTGATATATATGTTTTGTATTTATTGAGGGGAAATTAACTATCCAAACCAACTCAGTCAGGGTTGGTGACCAAAAATACAAAAACATGGTCACTAACCCTGGTAAATTGCGACTTATCTGTGTTTTTTCGAAAACTGAGTTTAATTTTCCAAGTCACATCCAGGCCTAAATAGAATCAATAAACTGTTCAGATAAAATCTGCCTGTCAACATAGAGGAGGCTAAAAAATGAGAAACATGGCACAGTGGTGAACCTCTCCAGGAGGGGCTAAAAATTACAAAAAATACTCCAAGAGGGCATTTAAAATTACATCTAAAGCTCTGCAGACCTCACTTGCATCAGTTAAGGTCAGAGTTCATAATTCAGCAATAGTGAAGGAAGTGGGAAAAAGTGTCTTTAATAGCAAAAACCACTGCTGAGCAAAAAAGACGGGAAGAGGTTGTTTGAAATTCCCCAAAATGACTGATGACTGGCCGTGACTGAACTTAAGCAGCTTGGTTTATGCAAGCATTTGAGCAATTCTACAGTCCAATGCCTAAAAAAATAAAAAGTCCAGATTTTAGTAAAATTGGTGTGCAGTGGAATGACCTTAAACAGCTTGCTTATGCTAAAGCAACTCTCCAACAGGGCTAAACTAAAACAAGTCTGGAACAATTTTTTTTTCTAGCAGCAACTAACTGCCATTTATTGCAACATTTAAGTGCAAAAAAAGCAAAAGCAAAAAAACAAAAAGAAAAAAAAACTATAATGGGGCATAATGCTTTTTGAGGCACTGTACAACACCATCCTATGATTGCCTGTTCATACTGTACACTGAATATTGTCAAATTCTAGCCTATGCAACTGTAAGAAAATGAGAAAGTTGCTCGCTCTATCCTATGTAGCGCCAATGAATTCAATATATATACATACATCCTATGGGTTTGCAACAGTATTTTCTACTTCCTACCCTCTCATCCCCCTTTTGTATTTGATACATTTCTCCATTCGTTGATTTCTCAAAGTTCAACAGTAATTTTGCTTACCGACTTCCCTTTCATGGAGAACAATGCCTTCTTCCTGATGTCAGATATTTGTTTACTCATTCAACAAAATATATTCAAAAAGCACAACAAAATAATTTGCTGTCCCCTTGCTTTTTTTTTTTTTTTTTTTTCTTTTTTTTGTTCACTTCAGGAACATGAGGGAAGAGAGAGCTTTTTTGGGGGAGGTAAGCAGGGGAAAACGAAGATTTTGACTTTTTGCACCCCCTCTTGTCTCACACACGTTACAGTACACACTGTATACACACACAACAAAACACTCGACCCTCACTGCACCCATTGGTTTGGCATCATTTCAAGTCCAGGTTAGATTAGTTTAGTTCTGGCATTGTGCTCGTTTTAATTATCAAACTCAAAGTCACAGTTCAGTAGTTTAGAATTTCCAGAACTTTCCACGCTCCTGCTGCTTGGTTGACTTTTTCTTCAAGGGCTGCAGAGGACAGAAGGAAAGAAAAAAAAATTAGTAAGGGCTTTTAATGGAACATTATCCTGCTGAATTCAGAGTATTTAAGCTTTCTGTTATTGTGACATTAATTCACTGCTGGTGGTAATTTGGTTTCTTTTATTAGGAACAGGTTGATATAAACATAGATAGAAAAAAGTAACTTTGCTGTAGATTTTAAAAACAGATTGAAAGGGGTTACATAAGATTTTAGTTTGTTTACTCCCTTTTAGTATATCTTACCATCAAGTTTTTGGAATGACAGTGAGCAATCAGACAAAACTGAACCATTAGTTGCTGAAATAACAAACAAAAATGGCTGATTCTAACTCCCAGCCCCAGACCCAGCAAACACAAATCTTCTGTTCCTAGGGATTAAATCAAGCTGCCATTATGAAACCTGCCCTCCTGATGACCACTGCTCATGTACACTGACACTGAGTCAATAAACAGAGTAATTTAGAGGCAAGAGAGAGTCACTTGTCACTATGAATGCCTAATTTTTACGTCTTGAAGCCATGGCACTGTGTGTCAGTGAAAGGACCAGCTTTCACCAGGGTGTCAGGAGTGTTTTAATGGAGAGAAAATGTTTGTTACAATGAGAGTAAGAAGGGAAGGTGGAGGGTTCAAATCATTAGGAGACAGAATTAAGTTGGAGAACTTTACAGAGACAACAACGCTGTCTTTTTTTGCAGGTTTTCTGCTCTTGGTAGACCTGTGAAACACATACACACACACACACACACACACACACAAAAAAGACACTTACTGCGATCCAATATCATCATATTCTTATAATGGAAGGCATGTTCTGTGGGAACACTGTCATTTGGAAGAGATTTTACTTATTTCTCAGAGGGAAGTAAGGTTTTCAAAATAGGTTCGACACCTTTAGACCATTTATGGTTGTAAAGCTGCAGTGCTGGGAATCCAGTGTCAACTTATCACCACAGACCAATAAGCCCCATTACATCATTGTAAATGATGTAATGGGACAGTGTAATTAATGACTAAAGGTTTGGCTCAACTTTTAGAGAAAGCAAGAAGTGATGACTCTGAGCACAACTTTGTTTTCACAGTATGGTCAAGAATTTAGGCCCTCAGATCTGTACATGGCTTACAGTGAAAGTAGGTTACGAAGATTTGAGCACATGTTGTCGAGTTCAAATTACAAGCATTAAACTTTTTGTGGCTTCATATGAAACAACACAATGAATATCATAATCACCTAATTAGGTCATAATGCATTTAACTTAATTTCTCTACAAATGTTTATTGCGAAACACCGCCATGGCAACATTGTGCTTCTCTTTATTAATATCTGTTGCAAGATGCGAAATTGATGTCTAGATGTTCTCCATCTAACATGACAACACTTGAAAAATGAAAAAGATAACACTTTCAGTCTCTAGATTTCAAAATCTGGAAGAGACAGACTCTTAACGACTAATAAGTCTGTCTCTTATTGCCCTGAGACAGAGCCTAAAAGACTTGCAGCTGTGAAGTATGAACTCAATGGGGCTCCTTAAAAACGCATCCAATATTTTTTAGATATTTATTTTGAAGGGACTTTGAAAACTGTGCACCATTTCCTTTCTACTACGCCTTTATGTACTTCCTCCTGCGTTGAAGTTTGCCATTCTAACAGAACAAAAAATAAATAAGTAAGAAATGTTTGACATGCAAAATTTAGCAAGAGAGGTGATGTGCAGAAGGAGATAGACTTACGAGTATTTGCCCATCCTCCTCAACACTGCGATCACAACAGCGATGACAATTACCACGGCCACCATGGCACCAAACACAATTCCCACGATTTGTCCGGTGCTCAGGCCCTCTGAAAGACAATGGTTATTAGGGTGTTTTTCATCTACAAATCATTATTTTTACTATTATTGCTCTGAAAAATTGCAGACTATTGGACTGAGTCTTAAGTCACCTTGCGTTTCCACCGTTACACCTGCGTTGTCATTGTCGGTCCCCGTAGTTGCACCTGGACTCATGGTGGGATCAATCGGTGCTTCGGTCCCGTCAATGAAGGGGCTACTGGTCTCTTCTGAGCCAGTGGTTTCGAAAATGGGAGCAGCGGTGGTCTCGGGAGGAGGTGAAGCCGTCTCAGCGGAGGTTGAAGTGTGCACGGTGGGAGCTCTGGTTACTTCCACAGAGGTTGTACCAAGGATCAGATTTGATTCTGTAGTAGAGACATCGGTGTTGGCCTCAGTTGCAGCAGTACTGAACTCTACATCTTGAGGTGCAACTTGTGGGTCGGTGGGAGGAGGGCCGGTGATTATTGTTTCTTCTGCTTTTTTTGTTACCGAAGAGGAGTACGAGGTAACTGTCGTGGGACCTGAGGGGAGCAATTATAAAAAATAAGTTTTCTCATTTATGCTGATTTTCATACAAACATCCAATGATCTACATTTTCTCTGCCATATGAATCAAATCCACTTTATGAAGGAAGGGTTTTCTCTCCCAAATAAGCTTTCTGCTTTTTTTCCCCCTATTATCTTGCATTAGATAAACTAGTAGAAATTTGTGTTTTTATCCTGAAGCTTCACTCCGAGCTGTGTTGAAAGTCACTTATCAGTTTTGTTACTGAAGTAAATGTGTTCTCAGTGAAGCACTTGTTTGACATTACAATCTTGTAAAGAAAGGAAACTGTGCACTTTATTGCAATATCTGGTTGCGGAAACCTCATGACATCACAAAGAGACAGTGATTCAGAATTTCAAAGGATTGAAAAACCCCACAAAAGCAAGCAGATACATTGTCCTCTCCCTTTTTGGACAGGTCCCACGGAGTGAGATTGTTAAATCAAACTGACACTCGACACAGAGGTTCTCCCGTTTGTTCAGAAGGGTGCCACAAAAGACGTATGCGGCATTTCTCATTACTATTGTCCCATCATTAGTGCACAGTTACTAAAGCCAGTGAGTCTGCCACACCCAGTGACCTCATAAAACGTACATCCTCCCCCAGTTCCTCCACCCCTCCATCCTGCCTTCAGATTTTGCGTCTTTTCTCTGTGTAGGAGAATGCCACATCCTCCGCCTCATTTCCTGTGGAAGGAGCCGCAGTGTCAGGACGGCACGGGAAGGCTTGTTAACCCTGAGCTGCAAGCCCAAATCAGACCTGATGGAACATCTAAGAGTGTGGGAACTTCTAATTTGGTTTTTCAAGTCCTAAGGTGTACATTTTGGGCAGTCATCAAAATGTGAGGATACATTTTGATAGCTGCTTTCATAAATGAGAAAGCCCAAATTTGTCAGTCATGTCAAGGAAATGTCACTTTTCATCCTCTCTTGAACAATTGACATCTAAAATGAAATATTTTAGAGCCTACACGTCTGTCTGTGCTGCTGATTATCTTGTAAATATTTAAAAAAATAAACATGTATTTATCCTCACACTGACTGTGAGCCAGCCTAATTTCAATGCAATCATTCCTCACCAGTAGCGCTTGCTTCATCTCCCCAAGGTCTATATCCTTCCAGCCACAACTGAAAGTTTAGCCTGAACAGCACCACTTGAAAATTAAGGAGCCAGCCTTCAGCGGGGCACCAAAATTATAGCCTGCAATCAACTTTCCACTGACAAAACGTTGGCTTACAAACTACTCCTTCTCTTCTGGAAAAGTGAAATCTGCTGTTTAGAAATCTACTTGTGCCCCAAAACTTTATTTCTTCAGAGAGCTGAAAAACAGTCTCTTAAGTTCAGCCACTGTCATTAATGTCCATCCATTCCCACTTTATTAGACTTCGACTAAGTATGTGAAATGATAACGAATCCTTTCAAAATGTCCAAAAATAACCCTGGACGGCCTTCGCCGCCTTCCTTATGACCAGGCGGGCGAAATATAACAAAACATTTGTTCCCTCTGCCGCCGAAGGCTGAATGGGGGGGCGGAGGGACTTCAATCTGTTTGTTTGGACCGTCTGTAAATGATGATAAAATGGTCTGCGCTTCACAGAGCATGGCTACACACTATGTGTAATCACCTCCCCTAAACTCCTATAACAATTGTTTCATTATGTGCTCAGTTCCCACAATTAGCTCGGAGTAGTATTTCCTCCCCACAAAAATAACCCTTCTGGGTTAATGCAGCTGCATTAGTGAGCAACTCTGGTGAAATGTGTTTCCCTTCTTCGTCCCCCCCCTCAACCCCTGCTCTTTTAATCTACTCCATCTCTCTTTCTCCGTGACCATGCCACTCCCTGAGGAGAACAACAAACTGACCCCCGAGGAAAAGTTTGCCAATTTTTGAAAGCACTGACTCATTGTACGTAGGGGCGGAGATAGGAAGGTCGGACAGATTGAAATCGCAAGGGTGGGAGGGATCTTCCTCGGGTATTCAGTGATTCAAAACTGAGAAGCCGGGGAACATGATGTCATGATGAATGTGGTCGGCTTTTTGGACATGTAGGGTATAATACTGAATCTGCACATCTAATCCAGAGCAGGTCCAGGCCTGGAACCAAACCCCAGAGAATAGGTTTGGACTACGACCATCACATTAGAGCTAACCATTGAAAGGGCGTGTTAATTTTGTCAGCTCCTGAGCACACCCGAGTTTAAACATTTTGGTAATGGTGCCGTTGTCATTGTCTCAAAAATGTGAGTGCCACACTTTGGATGATTAATAAGATTTCGTTTGATTCCAGCTTAGTGATAAGAAACTATCCCCCCCCCGTGACATTCATGGCTGCAAACCAATTGTGTCTTTTTGAGGTCAACAAGGCTATGGAAGCCCTGAGTCTCCAAGACACAAGGCTATGGAAGGGCTCCAAATATACAACCTTTATCCTATATCAAATCAATCTGACCACACACATATACACACTCACTTGCCTCCAATTCAGCATCAAGCAAGCTTGAAACAGCATCTAACTGCCTGAAATGTTAGCAGATGCCCTCTTGTGAGAGTTTGAGAATGCCTGCATGCCTGTTGGTTGCAGTTGGCTCCACATGATTCAATCTAGGGGTTATATATGGCCTTTGGTGGTGTGTGATGTACAGTGAACAGCTCATTTTGGAAGAGGAATTGAATTAGCAACTCCTGAGGTTCCGGTTGGCCGAACTTCCACAGCGAAGATGCATGGAAAGTGGCTTGATTGCAGACGGAGAAGGGGAAGCAGAGCAGTTGGCGTTAGCTTAGACCTGAGTCTCCAAGACACAATCATTTTTATCAAATAGACGAGATGGATTACAACCTCAAACACACACAGAGCATGTACACCAACAAGAAATGATTGGGTTTATGACCTAAACGTCTGAATCCAATTGTATTTAATGGCTAGCTAGTGAACATCTTTTTACTCAGGTAAGAAAAGGGTCTTGCTGCAAGACCCCCATCGCCTGTGGTTGTGGTCATCTGAAGATTTTTCAGTTTCAGCGGTCTTGACCAGCAGTGAGCTGATTGTTATGTCAAAACCCCCGATCAGTGAACTCACCAGTGATATTACTTGTTGCACTGACAATGGTAAACAAAGTTTTATTATTTTTGTAAAGGGAAACACAAAAATTGTAAAAAGATTAAATAATTTTAATCAAAGACCAAACTGTCAGAGAGAAACACAGCAAGAATTTGAGTAAATAACTGGATCTCTGAATAGAGCACAGAACAGTCGGTCAGTTTTTATCTTATTAAACATCTGACCTCAGTCTATTATGATACATGCTGCATTGGAAAATGTTTGAGTAGAATGGAACAGAACAGGAATAGAATAGAATAGAAATTCATTTATTGTCCCACAATGGGGAAAAATCTGTCCATCAACAGCAAAATTACTTTACAAAAACTTAACATTTGGAAAAGATTAAATTCTCTAGAATCCAGATGAAAACACTGACATTTTCAGATAGTTCTTTGTGTTAACTGTGAAGATGCTAGAAGCCACACACTTTTAAAATGGGAACTTTGTACAAAAAAAAAGGTTAATGCTGTCTGATATGCAGGGTGAAATTATGTCATTAAACACTAAGTTACTGATCTTGGCAAGAAAAGAATATTTACCATAATTTTCTCTCATCGTCCTACCTTCTGATATATTAAAGTACTAGATCATAAATTTTAATTGACCAACTCAAAGCTTAACAAAAAGCAGAGATGAGAAAATCACTGCAAATCTCTGAATGGTTCATCTCCACTTAGTGCTGTGGTGAATGTCTGATTCAAAGTCACACACACACAAATATAAAACAATATTCAAGACATATTTTTATATATTTTGGTAGGAACTCGCAATAAATTATGCATCTAAACCTACGTCCAGTACTAACCACAGTTCATCAAGAGGAAAGACATAAGCTTGGGTGTAAATATGACAAAAGGTATTAAAAAAGATTTTTACTACAAACCAGCCCGGTTTATGACTTTAGTTGACATGCAATAAGTGCTGCAGACAGGCAGACATGGTAAAAGAGGCTGTGTGAAAACGGAGAGCTGCACTTTCTGCCTGACAAAAATAAAATCTCTTTCATGGGAGTTATTGTGCGGAGCAGGTACACAACAACAACGCAGGGCGAGACGAGAACAAAGGGAGTAGCAGTTTCCTTCTGCCGAGTCTATCACAATCAGCTGCCACAGCGGGCCTCTGTTTACGTATGTCTGTACGTTCTAATTTACAGCTTAGTGTGGGAGGGAAAGACGATGTGAGGGGAGTGAGAGACCACGTCCACCTTTGGGGTGCGGAATGTTTCAAGACGCTAAAGGAGAGAAGTGAAAGAGACACTCTGCTCATCTGGCAGAACTCCCCCACAAAACCAGTGGGCGACATCACGGATGATAATGCTATGTAGAGGTTTGAAACCCGAGGCCAGGGGGGAATATTCGCAGACCCTGTTATCACTAACTCCACACAAAGAGTGTCCAAAAGCCTGATGTTTTGTTTACCTCTTTTACTCAGACAAAGAGACAGAGCAGGTCCCATCTGGACTTCATCACCGGCGGCAGATACCGGCATCACAGCGTGTTATTTATTATCCTCGTGGCCTCCAGGTTTGATTGCATCACCCCTAAAAATCCGTTCCTGAATTTCCTCTGCAACCTTCTTCTCCTAAACTCCTAATCTTTCTAACCTTTGGTTGCACGAAGTGAAGCACACACCCGGCTACCGATTTCTTTGTCAGGGGCTTCCCAGTTACGTGCATTCTCAAGGCCCACGATGGTGTCCTCTGTATGGATACCATTACAGAGGTTTGTACACATCTCCGCCTCAGCTTCGTTTGTGGATTTCCTCCCAGGTCTGAGAGAGTCTGCTGCAGACTGAGGACGTCAGCGCTAAAACAGCCTCTCTGACTCCTATCCCTAAAACAGATGTTTCTCTCTCTCCCTCTGTGGAAAATTTCAAAAGCATGACTGTGCCGTTTTTGCAATTTCAAAATGAGACTCATGAGCTGACATGAAAATATGCGTGCGGCTCATATATTTATGTTTCACCATTACTGGTTTAGGTCTCATATTAAGAGCGTGAGGTTAAGTTTGACCCACTTTTGAGTAGCCAGATGTGATCGGAGTGTTACTGGGCCAGCAAGGCAGACAAAACTCATTAACAGCGAGAACAGGGGTGGGGAATGAATGGAAGGAAGCTTTTACAGGATTCCTAACCTTGCTAAGTTAGAAGATATGATGGAGAAAAAGCATGCCTTCTATGTTTTTGTTCCATTTGTCTTTTGAAAAGTAAAGATACTTTCTGAAGTTTATATATATTTTCCCCCCTCTTAAGGGTTAAACTCATCAGACTGGCAGGGGTGTAAGAAAGGGGGCAAGCTGTTCCGAGGCAGGGGGGTGAGGCATGACAGGGGGATTTTAAGCAGCTAAAGCTTTGACACCCCAACCAAAGATGGGTAGACGCCAAGGGGGTTGGCGAGTGCAACAGTTTACCAACACACAGGGACGGATAGGGCGCGTCTCCTGCTCCCTCTCCCTTCCACATGACCCTCTTAAATATAGAGGCTCTCTCTATTAATACCGAAAGCAGCCCAGCCCTTCCCTACCGTTGGTGGTGGCTGTTTCTTATGGGTACTTTTCTTTCTTCAAGGCAAATATATGTACCTAGGAGCTCGAGAGAGAAATGATACTCCTACTTAGGAGTGAGAGAAGGGACTGGAGTCGAAATGAAAACTTGCATAAAATATATACATATAGAGAGAAAGCGTAGGACAGCATTTTGGAGAAATATGTACGGTGTACGTTACAATTTACAGCCCCCTCTTGCCTCCAACCAACCTTCTTCCTTGCCTACTTGTGTATGAGAACTGCTTTGGGATGCTTCCAAAGGATATTCCTTTTCTTCTCTTTAGCTGTGCCAAGAGTTTACAGACATGAGGCAGCTGAGCTCCCGCTATTACATCATTTTTTTTTTTTCTCTCTTGTGGCAGAAAATCAAACTCATCTTGTTGTCTGGACTCGGCACCAGAGGCAGGCGATAATATGAAAACAGATCAGGAATATAACAAAGGCAGGAGAGGTGGTTGTTAAAAACAAAAAAGCTATATTTGTCATGGAAAGCTATTGCTCAATAAAAATGAATGAAAGAAGAAAGAGAGAGAGAGAGAGAAAAGGAAAACCGCTAAAACCAGATACAGACAATGGTTTCCAGGTTAAAATCTGACAGTAATTTTGGAATAAAAATCGTTTTTAAAAAAATATTTCGAGACTTCAATATTTAAAAAAAAAAACAATTGTTTGATTAATTTCTTATCGAAACACGTTTTGCTTCCATCTCAGGCCACCGTTTTCATTGTTATTGTGAGATCAGCACAGGTTAAAGCAGACAAAGAGTGGTGTATGCAGGGCACATGGAGGCAGAGGCACACAGGGGGGACAGAGTGTGCTAACGGCAGGACTGTGATAAAGAGTACACTTACTTGCACGTGTGAAGGAGCAGAGAGGGCCGGCCAGGGCCAGGAGGAGCAGCAGCTGAACTTTCATTGTGGTGGGAAATTCTTCTAAGCACTTTTTCTCCTGCCAAAAACCGTTGGGAGACTCAAATCAGAGAGATCTTGTACAGTTCAGGGTTGTACACCGGAATGAGAGAGGATACGGGACCAACCTCCAAATAAAAAAAAAAAATTAAAATAAAAAAAAAAATGTAAAATTGTTAAAGAAAAAGTTCAGGATTAAAAAAAAAATGTGGCCTGAGAATTAGGCGAAATTGATACAAATCTGTACAGGACAGGATGTGGAGAGAATACAAGAGGAGCTCTGGCCAGTTTGAGGAAGTGTAAGACGGGAGAGAGAGGGAATGGCACACAGCATGAGTGAGAAAAGATGGTGAATAAACTGAGCGGGGAGGAGGTGGGTGGTAGGGTTGGTGGTAGGGCGGGCGGTTTGGGGAGCAGGTTGTGCTGGGAGGAGGCTCCACTGAGTATGGACTGTAAGGTGGCTAATGCGGTCCAGCCCTGAATGAGGCTCTGCAACTCAGGCCAGCAAAGCCTGCAGTGGTATCAGTAGCTTGCACACATTCAACGCATGGAAGCTTTCACACTTTAAACTGATAAACAGCTGATATAAAGACATGACAGAAAAACTGAATGAATTTGAAAAAAAATACTGATGTTACTTTTCAACCAAGTTTTGGAATGGTTTATATATATATATAGCTTGCCAGTCCCAGCTTTTTTTTTATATATTTTTTTTTTGTCTGTTTTTCTACATGTATATATAAATGTAACTTCAGGCAACAACAGTTTGACCTGATGTATGAATCTTTCATTAACTGCCCAAATAAAAATAGTAATAAATTAAGCATATATAAATGAGTTGATAGCTTGACAGCTTAAAGTGTAGCTCTTTTTCTTGAAAAGATAAGATTAGCAGCAGGGCTTTTAAGGATTTGAACCCAATGAAAAGCAGCTTTTAGAGCAGTCTCAACACTGTGCGACTTTTACACAACGAAGCGCGGGTGGTCTGTCGAGTTCACATGCAACTGAAGACTAAATGTTGCTCGGCACTTGGCTGACACCTATTGGAGAACAAGATACAAGTGTGGATGAAAGCAAGGTGACAAGCATTTCTCACAAAAAAAAAAAATGAAACTTGGTTGTTCCTTAGGTTTCGTTTCACCACAAAAATATATCTTAACCTATCTACAGTTTGGCTCAAAATTCTTAATATCCCAGGCAGATTTGGATTTGAAATTATTCTTATTCACTAGAAAAGATGCTTCTGACATAAAAGGTGCCACACATCTGAAAAAAGAAAAGTGTAAAAGGAGTGTTAATTCTAAAAACAGCAATTAATCTGTTTATTTGATCAAATCAACTGTGATGAACTGAAAGTGTTGAAAGGCCTCTGTCCCATCACCCTAATCTCCTGCAGGCCTTTGGCTCAGTCCAAAGACAGAATAACGGTGGAATGATGGCAGCACACGCAGGATTAGAGCAGTAAAAATGGCTTGTGACATTTTAATAAACACTTAACATATTTTAACCGCCATACACAGAATATTTTTGGACACAGTTTGCCAGTCCCAGCTTTTTTTTTGTTGTTTGTTTGTTTGTTTGTTTTTCTAGATCACCTCTTTACAGTATACTGAAATTATGTACATGGTGCAAATCCAGACGGACATGTAACAAAATACCGTCTCCATTTGCAGCTTTGCTTTTCAGTCTGAGTTTTTCAAACAGAGGATTAACACACTTATTTACAAAGACGACAACATACAAACAGAGAAGATATACATATTCTGGTCACTGTAACACACCACTGAATGGCGATAAGGAGCATTTCCCCCCTTTTTTTTGTTGTTGTCCATACAATGATTGTTTTGTGACTGCCTAATTAATAGTCAAGCTTTTCTGAAACAAGTAACACTTTAAGTTTCAATATTTCGCTGAAGGAAATATGAGCTCAAAATGTTAATACAAAGAAATTAATTTATTTTTTTGTGTGTATTTGTTTTGCCTTATGAAGCTGTACACTAATGAAAATTGGAGACAATACAGAACTGTACACAGACAAAAGAAACGTCACAATGAACAAACCAGAACATTTTGTCTTTTCGTTTCAGCTCTGCAAAAAGCAAAAGCAAAACACATATCTTTCTTTTATAAAGTAGATGCTTTCAGACTTAGTGTTGTGCAAAACCTGCTATTTCTTTTTCCCTAATTCAGGCATCACAAACAATCAATCAACTCCTTCAGTCTGCTCAGAAGCTTTGCGCAGGTTCCCCTCAGAAATATAGAGGGTCCACCTGGTAAATTGTACATCAAAAACTGGGCACAAGTCTTAGGGAAGTCCAAGTCTGGCCTGCAACTTGCTTCCTAACTTGAGAAGCTGCTGCTCTCTCACCTGCCGCAAAGCTTACTCCACAAAAATAATTAACTTTTCAGCATATGGAGCTGACCATGTCCTGTTAGCCAAAGCTAAACGGGATCGAAATAGATGGCACAGAGTCGAACCAACGCAGGCCCCACTGAGACCTGGCGCTAACACCTGTCCTGGGTGAACAGGTCACACTCAAATGACCCTAAACAGACGTGTGGACGACCTCAGGACACACTGAACTCAGGTTTAGCTGCAGGCTAATTTACAATTAAACACCTGTCTGAGGGAAAGTAGCAGAATGTGACTTCTCTCTGAAGTGTTTGTTTTGATTGTATTTGGCAAAGATGGGTAAAAAGGTCTAAAATAAATTTATATTGTATAGCTGTAGCATAGTCTCACATTAAAAAACAAAAAAAACTTAATTGTAGGAAGGAGGAAAAAACCCAAGTGAAGTTTTTTTTTTTCACAGAATCCTTTAAATAAATAAATACATATAAAATAAATAGTATAAATACAATTTCAATCCAAGAAATGCAGGTAATGCATTTTTTTTGAACTAATAAGCATGATCATAGCCACAATATACTTCTAGTTAGAGAAGTATAGACGTACATATTGCTGAACTCCCTTCTCCACGTTGTCAGACAGGTTCTAGTTTAAGTATTTCTTCATCTGGTCTACATGTGAAATTCAACTCAGCTTTCCAGATAATCCTGTTAAACAGTGTTAATTCGTAATCAGCGAAGGCAACAATTAAATTTTTCACATATGCTAAGGTTGTTTTTTTACTCTGGCTATCTCTGTGTGATACTAAAATTGTTTTGATTATTTGAATTGGATTTTTTTTTAAAAGACAAAACTTGAAATCTTTAAGGAAAAAAATGCTTCATCTAAAGCACTGCATATGACGTCGGTTCATCTCCTGATATATTTTACTAATAAGAGTGAAAACTTAAAATTGAGCCCAAGCCAGCCAGGACAAATGTTAGTGCCAGGTCAGAGGAGGGACATTTTCATTCAGAAATGGCACAAAAGTGGAGATGCATGTGAACATTTCAACCTGAGAGCATGAATATTGAGCATACCAGATTATTATACAAAATAAATTTTTAGAAACAAACAAGTCTGAAAAGGCAGATAAAATGTTCCGGAAGATTGTATTGTGGCGCATGAAAAGTATTCCAGCTTTGACCAGTAGATGGGGCTCCACTCAATCACATTTCCCTGCATCTTCCTTTGTCCAGATCCACAGCAGCATGAAGAGGCCCAGTTAAAGGGCAAACGAAATGTTTACACCAAGAAAAAAGTTGAACTATCTGAACATGCTCATTGTGTTTGCAAGAAATATGATTCGTGTGCAGCAATCTGCTGCAGGCTTTGAGTTTTCTGTCCATTTCTTTTATCAGCGGGAACTTTAACATGACATCAGCTGTTGCAGGAAACGCATCTGAGGGGAAAAAAAATGAAAACACACAGAGGATTTGACAATACTTTGGCGACCTGTGACTCTTTAAACATTGTGTTTACAACTTGGCACTGCCCCACACAATAAAAGTCTGTCCTGTAATTCTTCTTTTTTTTTCAATAATGATTGTCTTTTGGACCCCTCAGCCACTTGTATTAGAAAAAAAGGCCAACAAGATTTTAGAAAATGACTTTCCATTTCTTTCTGGATTGTCGTCCGTTTCTTCACTTTGGTGAACAGAGGAGGTTGTCCACTACAAAACTCACATTAGTATTGTCCCGCCTGATCTCTTTTCTCTCATTTTGACTCACAGTTCAGCTTTAGACAATGGAGTCCCAGTCAAAGTCGTCCTGGATGTCCTCAGCAGCGAGGATGCGTCTCACCTGAAAGTGCCCCGCAGGCAGAGTGTGTTGCTGCTGGCTCAGCTGGCTGTGATGACCTGCGTGTGGAGAAAAATGTCAGTAACTCAGGACTCCTTGTGTCTCAGCGGGACATTAGATTGGATGAAGTTGATTACATATTAGGGGTTCTCCGTTTGGTTACTTAAGCTCTTTCTGATACATCAATAACACTGAGACTCTTGGAAAACATTGTACCTTTATAAGAAGTTGTGGAAAAACACTGTCAACATGATCATTAGTCAGTATTACTCACTTATTTGACAATTAACACAATGCTAGTGACAATGTGTAGATGCCACCGATTTCTGAGAAAATAGTGATTTTCGTCTGTGTTGTTAAAATAACTAAATTAGCTGAAGTCATGAATAAACCACCCAATATTTTAATAGTAATTTGGGGGTTTTATTCACACACTTTTAATATCAGTTTCGGCCAATTAGATGAAAGCTTCAAAGGAACATGTGGAATATTTGCAACACATAACCCTCAACCCACGCGGACGGCAGCCGGTTGGGAAAATAAATCCCAGCCCAGGTCTGACTCCCGCCCTGTGTCAAATGCTCACCTGTATCTGGCCGAGAGCTGGTGGAGATAACTTTTGCTGTTGGGGTAAATGCTACAAGAGGAGAAAAGAGAATTCTCCACACCTCCAGACAGCAAACTTTCTACAGAGCAAAACACAGTAGGGCTGCTTATGTGATCAGATTCTCCATGGAACAAAATGTAACCATTTTTGCACCACCAATTGATAGTTTTTGTTTGTCTTATAAAGCCAAAAGAAAATGTCTTCTTAATGAGATGAGCTTCTTTACATGTTTGAAATTGAGATTGCTGCATTATTACACCTTTAGCAAGTTTCTCCCGTCCCGTCAGAAGAGTCACCTGTCATGCTGGGCGCCGTGTTGCTCATTGGAGGCATGTGAGGGTATCCTGGTGGGCCCATCAGAGAAGAAATGTTCTGTCTCGAGTCCATGTACATGTTCCCTGCGAGAGAACAGACAAAAGGGCAATGACTAACTGTCAGATTAGTGTACCAACTTTCACACATTCGCCTTTGCAGAACACAAGCTGTTACCGCGCATTTCGCGTACACAACTGCACTGCCATCTTATGCTGGATAAGTAGTACCGAATCGCTGGTAGAAACAGTC